TTTATGATTTCTCTTACAATTGAATTTTCATTTAATATTCAATATTCAGTATTTATTTTGTATCAATTAATTAAACAATATTTTCCAACTTTTATTTATTTATAATTTATTTATGAATTTAATAATTATATATTTTATTCGAATTGCATATAATTTCAAAATGGCGACACATATCTTTTTTTATAAAAAATATATAAAAGATAATATCTTTTTTATAGATTTAATAACATATTATTTTATAGATTTATTCATAGATTTAGATTATAGATTTAAAATTACTATTTATTAATATTAAATTAATATAACTATATATATAATATAATTTATTAAAAAATTATCTATTAAATTAAAAATAATTTTATTCTTTAAAGAATAAGCTTATTCTTGTATTATTTCTTTTTTGTACAGAATTTTTTTTATAAAAAGCATGACTAAAAAATTATATAGACATAAAACAAATTATGAATCATTCGTTATATTTGATCTTTTCATATTTATTTATATTACAAATTACAATACTATATTTGTTAATGTATTAATTTTTTTTATCTATGTGCATCGGTTTCTTTTTTTATATTTCTGATAATTTATCCTTTACTTTGATATACAGCTTCTATTTCTGAAGATTCTTTACTCTTTACTTATCTTTAAATCCATCTGATTCGAGAGTGTATTTGAGAGAAGAGGGGCTGATAGATTGGAAACTCTCAGTTTCCTATCTGAACCAGAAATAGGTTAGATTTCCTAGTTCTCTCGATAAACTTGTACACATAGTAGACGTAATCAATGTTATACAAGCTGTTTATAAACTTTCTTTCACCTTAGCAAAGTGATGACTGTCGTTGATATTGGTCACGAAATTCTATAAACGTAACATAAATCTGAACGGATAAATTATATATCTTGAATATTCGTAGGTGAATTTCTCAATCATAAACATATTCTTTTAATCTATTCCATTAATTTTAATATAATATCGAAATTTTGAATTACAACTTAAACATAATTAATTTTAAAAGTAACAATATTAATATAATTATTTTTATTATAAATTTATTAATAAATAATATTTGGATTCAAAAAATTTAATATATTCAATTTCAAAATAAATGTTTATAAAAATAATTAATCAAGTTAGTAATTGTTTATAATTTATAACATATCTAATTCATTTTATAATTCAATATATTGATTAGTCATTTTTTGATCAATTTGAATAAAAAAAGTGTTAGACGCTTTAAAAACAATTACATATCACAAAAACAAAATTCGATTTCTGTGATTAATTGTTTAAAAAGAATATAATTATTATCAAGTTTATCTTTTCTTAATATATTACATAGAATAGATATATATTGAAAATATTTGATGTAATAAAACCATATAATATTGTGCTCATCTCATCTTTATTTCTCTAAAAATAAATATAATTGAATATTTATATTCTAAATCCATCAACAATTACTTTAGAAATACTATCTTATCACATATCAGAGATTGGTTTCTTTATTCATAACTTTTTAAATATTCTATTTTCGTTCATTCTTTTTCTTGCATGTAATTATGTTTATTTGAAAATGAAATCTAAAATTTATACATTATTTTTCATTTTTCTTAATGTATGACAATGATATTAAAAATAATATTTAAAGAATAACGAATTTATATAAAAAAAAACTATATTGCAACCAAACAAATATTTAATTAAATAAGAGAATGTAATATTAATTGATTTTGATAATTCTATTCTTGAATTATTTATAAATATATTAAAATTGATATAAAAAGAATAACATTGACAATAATTAATATTGATAAAAAATTCTAATGATGGTTGACCTCAATATATGTCATCAACGACATTTTTCTGAATAATCTTTAAAAGACATTAGCAATTGTTCGTTTTTTATTAAGAGAATTATTAACAAAATAACTTTTATGAATAGAATGTATTTTTTCGATAGTTTTTTTCGTTAGATTAAGTAGATATTGAAAATCATTCTTTTGAGTAATCTTCAGAAGCTTTTAGTTGTTATTCATTGTTCGTTAAAAAGTTATTAATAAATAAAATTGAAAATATTAACATATGTTTAACTTTATAATATATCATATTTCTAATGTTTGAAGTGATTTAATTTAAGTTAATTTGTGTTCTAATCAGGCTTTATGGCAGTTCAATAATTAACTATAGCAATACACCAAATTCATTCAATTATAAGTTGGCTTTAATAATACCAGATAGCAAATATAGTTCAATCTAACCTAATCTAAGATAAATTTAATTCAAACAACATTTTTATTTTTAATTATGAACGAAATATATTAGATAAATCAACATAATAATATGTTATTAATAATATAACAATAGTCTTAAAATTTTCTTTCTTTCAGAATTATTGTATATATTATAGTGTATATATATATATACATATATAGCTTATATATATAAATTTGTCTTAACTCAAATAGTATTTTTGTAAAATATTTTTCATTATGGTATCTTCAATTATAATATCATATATTATTACTCTAAATTTTTATATAAAAAATTATTTCAACGGATATCTTAATATTTTATATATTTTTTAATTTATTATGTTATATTTATATTTTTTATATATATTTTACATAATTGTAATCTAATTAAATCAATTTTAAACATTAGAAATATAATAATAAAGATATATTAATGTTTTCAACTTTTATCTATTAATAACGTTTTGAAAAATTAAAAATTAGGATCTATAATTTAATAGTAGTATTCTTGATATGAATCTGAATGAATCTGATATGATTCTGAATAGTATTCTTACTTTGATGACATATGTCAAGCCATTGAAATTGAATTCTTTTTTATCAATATTTATTTAAAGCAAATATTATAATAAATATTTTATATCAAACTGTAGTGAAATTATTTCGTAATTTATTATTTAATTTATTATATATTATTAAATTTTCTAAATTTCTAATACACCATTCTATTTTTCTTAAAATTTATTAATACATTTTCATTTTTTTATAAATTGAAATCAAATTATTGCGTTTATTATTTATTATTTAAATAGTAAAAATTTCAAACTAATAAATTGCTGTTGTAAATAATAATGTATATATGTAATTTCAATAGAATATTTAAGAAATATTATAATGGATACATTTAGAAAATTTCACTACTTAAAAGATTCATTGATTTGTTGAAAACGCAATACATTTTACTTTTACGATTGTTACATCTAAATCCTGAACTAAAAAACTCCGCTTCTGAAGAGTAAAGAGTTCCCTATTCATTTCAACAAAATATTCTAGGTCATTCAGTCTTGCTATTCAGCTCTGAGATGGTACTTTTATTCTTAAAAGTGCTAATTTTTACTATTTTTTTCAATAAGTTGATAATTATAATTTTCTCATTTCACATTTTATGTTAATTATTAATATATATTAGATGTATGAATAACGAAAATAACCAGCCATTAGTATAACATTGACTTCTATATTATATATTTGGAATAAATATACATGAATTTGATAAAAAAATTATATAATATATTGAGATATATTTATAGATGCTAGAAAATAAAAAAAATTTATGCTAGAACTATTATTAAAATATTTAAAAAAAAAAATGTCGGAAAAATTTGCATATTAATGTTCGGATATTTAAAAACTTGTGTTAAAATATTTTAATTATGTTTTATAAAAGTTATATATAAAATATTGGATTTGATAATTCTATTATACGATTTAAGCTACTTAACATATTAAAAATGATTTTCTTATTATTATTGAAACTTACGTTTTATTTCTAATTAATAAATTTCTATAAATTTATTATTTTTATTTTGTATGTATTGTTTTTTATCCATTCGATGATTTAATTTATTGCATAAAAATAATCATACAACTGTATAAAACTCATCATTTTAGTTTAATAATTTTAATTTGTAATGTGTATCGATACTTTTAAATTAAAATTTCAATTTTATTATTCGATTATTTTAGAACAATAAATAAATAAATTTTTTATTGAACAACAGTTTGTTTTGAAACAAATTTTTTATTTTCTAACATTTACATATTATACTTCAATATATTGCAAAATCATTTTGTTAATTTCGATGTAGAATAATCAAAGTTATATCCTATATCCGAATCATTTTATTTTTTACTATTTATCTTAAAAAAAAGTTACTCCCTTCACAAGATTCTACATATATTATTCTAACCTTTTCGATTCGTTCCACCTTTTTCATGTAAAGAAGTTCTTATAGTGTACTCTTGATTTTCTTATATAAAACTAAAATATTCAATCATGACAAAAAAAAAGAAAAATAGGAATAAAGAGAAAATTATCTCATTCGTGTAAAACAAAACTCTAATTTTTAGTTAATCATATTATACAGGTTTCTATATTATTCGTGTAGTGACGTTAGTATTATCTTTCTCTAATTATTTAATTTTATGAAAATGATTGGAAATGCAACTCGAGATAATAAAAAATCTAGAATCATACATATATATTATGACACATGCAATTTTCTATTTATAACGAAAAAAAGTTAAATAAATCGTTATTTGAAATTATTCTTAGTTAAAGTGTTATTTCTGCTAAAAAAAACAGAAACGAAAGCGTAAACTAACCAGGCTTTTCCATTAAATCTTTTTAAATGCTTAAAAAAAAACCTAGAATAATTAGAGTTTCTAAATTAAACGAATTCAAATGATCAATAAATTTCCATAGAAAATATTAAATAGAAAAACGGAATGCCCATTGGAGAAGAACCATAGCTCTTAGGAAGTGTGTAGTGCAACTTTTAGAAAGGAACATGGAGAGTTGTTTTTATCATCGAGCAATGGACTGATGGATCGTGGGAGGTGTAGAAGACAAAGAAGAACGATCGCGGTTGGAGAGGGAAAAGCTAGAGGAAGAATGGGGATGAATTCGAGTAAGGATGGCAGCGCTGTAGCGGCCAAGTTGGGAAACACGGATGAGGTTGGCTGGCAAGCTCTTTTAGTCGCGGACAAGCCGCCATGCGAGGATAACATCGGATGTGTAATATCGTGATAGAAGTTCGTTCAACGTTACAACACGTCAATCACTAACATACAGATTATCTGTAAGGATATTTGTGATTAAATTTAGAATGATTCTTGTGAAAAAACATTTTTTACGTATCTTTCGTCAATAATTGTTATCACCACGTGGTGAAATCGGACGTTACAAAGAGCGCGGGCAGTGGATTCGTCAGATAAATTGAAACATTTCTGTTTAAACGTCGTATAGGAGCTTTGCGCGTGCGAATGAGTGCGTAACTGAGCTTAGCAGCCAGCAATTAGAGTTCGCCGATGTTCTGGTTTTGTTGCAAGGCGATGTGAAGCTTTGCGATAATTCGGAACACCCGCAGCGTGTTTCTCGTCTAAGAAGTTTGCTTTCCCACCAATCAACTAAGTTTTCAACTACACTCGATAACATTTATTTGCGATTAGATCGTTCCATCTGAATCAGAGGGTGGGCGATTTATTTCTAGTGACTGTTTCCGTGCTTTATTCCAATTGATTTTTTTTTACTTCTCTTTTTTCTTCTATTTGAATTTTAATAATTGATTATTTCTTTATGTGAATCAAAGAATATATAGATATAAGTGAATTTTTGTTACAAGCTGATGACATTAAATATATTTCACTTATTTTCATTTTAACTTTTCCTCTTTTTTAAAAATATATTATTGATTTTTTTCTTTGCTACAACACAAAGAATGTGATAAAAAAAAATAAATATTTTTTCAATTAATTTTATTACAAATTTTGGTAGTATTTGAAATGATTTTAACAATTAAAAACAGTATATACTTTGTTTTACACTTCATTTGGAAAATTCCTTCTTTATAAAAATCTATTAAATATTTTAAGCAAAGCTTCAGGAGATTTTATCATTCCCAAAAAATAATACCGCATTATTATTATTATATTTTTTCAATATTCACTCGTTTAAAATTTACATATTTCATATAAAGGAAAATTTAAAGAAAAAGAAATATATCATATAAAATATATCAAATTATTCATAAAATTTATTGCTTTCCCTTTCGTTATAAAAATGTGACAATATGTTGCTTTCGCGATTAGGAAAATTGAAATAGAGATACAAAGACAATAATTTCATAGATAAATCTAGATAAACAAAGAACTGTAAATTTGCTTTGTTTTCTTTATTTGTAATATCTATAAGAATAAATAGCTACGATATTATTTCTGTTATCTCATATAAAGTATTATATGAAAAATCATTTAAGATAATAAAAATGCAAAAAATTAAAAGAAATTAATTGGATTATTTTTTTTAGTTTACTTTATACGTAACAGATAAAATAACAATTAATTTAAAATTTCAAAAGAAAATTTAAATTTTGAAATTTATTGAATCAAAGAGAGATACAATTTCAAAATAAAAAGATAAAAAAAATAAAACAAATATTCTATTCTATAAACGTGATAAGAAAGTGATCTATATATCTTATATTTTTTTTTAAATTCGTTGAAAAAAATTACAATTGTTTTATTTAAACGACTTTTTAATTAGTGAAAAATGTTTGTATTTTTAACTATTTACATTTAAAAATATTTTTGATTTATCATTTCCTAATTAAGGAACAAATTTAAAATAAAATTATTTTATCAATTTACTACAGTATATTTACATACGTATGTTTTTAAAGAACTATTTTTTCAAAATATATCCATTATATAATCTATAAATTATAATCTACTAAAATCTATAAAATTATTAAAATATTATGTAACAAAAAGGTATAAAAATTCTTTATTTTAATATGATTTCTTTTGAATGTAATTATTTCTATAATTAAAAATTCTTTTGGTTTATTAAATAAATTGTTTTTCTATGCTGTCTTCATTATATAATTGCAATATTTTGCTTAAATGCCATGATATTAATCAATATATAACATATAACATATAATATAAACGACAAACTTATTTTTATTTATTAAAACATTAATCATAAAATATGTTTTTACATTTGAATTTACAATCTGAAAATCAAAGATTAAAAAAAAAAATATATATTTTTAAGAATATCATTTTCAATTAATACAGACTAAAGTACTATAACAACTAAAGTATTATAAGATTTTTTTTAATTTAAATACAAAAACACAAAATGATAGAACAAAAAGAAGTTTATTTAATGTAAATTGTCATTTAAATATATAAATTTAATGTAATGTCATTTAAAATAAATTAAAATTATTGCGAAAATAAAAAATAAAAAAAGAGCAATTGGTAAATAAGCATTTATAAATAAGCATTTGGTAAATATCAAGTTATATAACTATATGCTTACTTATTATATAAATTGTATAGTTATATAAAAATAAAAATGAAAAGATGAGAAATAATAAAAACAATCAACATATATTCATTCAACGTATGAATTTTCAATGGTTTAGAAAAATTGAGTAGAAGATGGAATTTCTATGGAGAAAATCTCTCAGAAATTCGTTGGAAAATGAAGCAGTTACATAGCACGACAGACCAATCTCTTGTAACGCCGTTCCCTTTTTGAGCTTGTCAGATTAGATGGGATCATGTGATGCACAGTGCAACACGGTGACGTACTTTTCACGGTGAGAGTGAATGGATTCTGCATCCTTTGCGATCAGTTAATAACTGTACGTGCTTTTCACGTGAGTTTGTGCAACGTACCGTCTGTTCGATTAAGTGTAAAGTGAAAGATACGGCTTCACGGCTATTTCGATTTAATGCAGTGCAATGATAAAGTAATCGGAGTTATAGTGTCATCCTGAATAATTTCAAGAATCATTTTTACTTCTGCCACAAAACTTTATATTTTTACTATCTATCCTTTTTAATTGATTTCTTTCAGATATATTTTCTTTTTTTTCAATTAAAAATTAAAATAATGTTTGCTATTCGAGCTATTTATTAATTTATATGAGAAATATTAGTATTTTATTTTATTTAACGTGAATTTGTGATAAAAGTGATAACAGTGATAAAAGTGATAAAACTAAAAACTGTTGCATAGACAATTAATATATTTTTAAAATATCTGTTCCTATAAAAGAAGTGAATTCGAAAATATTAATATCTAATAAAGCATTTATTTTTAATATCGCTTAAAAAGTCGTTTTTAATTTTTCATTAACTTTGCAACATAGAAGCGTTTTGCTTTGTGTTATTTTTAATATTGCGAAATGAATATCCATAAATAAAACAATATATAAATTTTTTTAGCAATAATTTTCTTCTAAAAATTTAAAACATCTAAAACGAAAAATATGATTGATATTTTTTGTTAATTTTTTAAATTGTTAATTTCACGAAGTCTTCAACATTTTCTATTTTTTATTAACTTCATATTTTCATTGTTGATAGTTATAGTTCACGATACAAAATTTCATTTAGAATGATATATAAAATGTTTATTTAAAAATAATGTGAATATTAAAATTTTAATATCTTTTTTTAAATATTTAAAGAATAAGATGAATAGAAATAAAGGAATGAAATCATAATTACACTTATAGAATTTTATAATTTCTATAATTAAATTTTTTCACTAAGAGAACAAATAATTACTACAAATATTATATTTTTTTTCTCGTAAAGTATATTTTATCTATTATATCTGACATCATATTTTTATTATAAACGTGTTTTATATCAATTACAAATTATTATTATGATTTCCATGATAAATAAATAACATCAATATATGTTGTATGATGTTTTAAAAATTTTATTATGAATTTAAATAAAACTACTATTAAAATATAGAATAATTATTTATATAAGTATCATTTTAAAAAATTATTCATATTTTATAAATATTTTATTTTTATACAAATTTCTATACTTAAAAATTTTATATAGCAGAATATATATATATAATAAAAATCTATTAATTTAAACAGATAATAAATTATATTTTTCTTAGTATTTATTATAAATAAAATATTGAACATGATTTTCATTTCATTAATATATTTAAATAAACTAAATAAACTCTGTTATATAAACAGTTTTTACATATTGTGAAAAATGTTTTTATATTTATATTATTTATTAACAACGAAACATATATCTCGTTTTATTATTTAAAGTTTTAATATAATTTCATATATATACATATTCATAGTATATTAAATATATTTATATAAAATAATACGTATAATATATAAAATAAAATTTATAATAATATAGCACAATGAAATATATAAATTTGTAATTTTTTCTTCTTTTTTGTGAAAAATTATAAATTCATTATATATTATCTCTACAAAAAATATTTTAATGAAATTTCTATCTCATTTTTTTAAAAGATAAAATTTTATTATATATTATATAAAATATATTATATAAAGTACAAAAGAAATTTATAGAATGTTTATTTTCTTTTTTCTGAAATATCATTTGTAACTCTCTTATTGTTAAAAGTATAATAATCTCTTGTTTCTGCGATACTTTTATCGTGCAATCTTTTTGAAAGTAACGAAAGTACACTTTTCTTGTATCCAAACTGTTGCTTGCACTCGTAACTAACGATACAACTTCCGTGTCCATCTTTGTGATGTATAAACGTTCCGCATTGTCCTTGGAAAGAAACAAAGCCAATATACGTGTAACTGAGAAGACCAGTTTCTAGATTGTCGAGATAGTTTTTCTTTTCAATAAAATTTATCTAGTGTAATATCTTATTCCTCAACGATTCAGAAAATATTTTAATATTATAAATATTCGATTCTAATAAATATCGATATTTGATTCTAATAAATATTTTTAATAAAATTCAAATGAAATAATTTAATTATTATTGAAATTAATTAATTTATTAATAAGAAAATAGCGAACTTATTTATTTACATACATACTCAATTTATTCATACAAGGCCATTAATCTAATTATGATTTCGGTAAATTTATTAATATTATAATATATAAAGAATAATATTTTAAATTTCTTTTATTTTTTTCTTATTATTATTTTCTTTATTTGTTGTTTAAACAAAACGATATTCAATTGCAGAAATGTAAAAATTAAAAATATGATAATGTACATAATATTTACACAATTTATATTGTATTATTGTAATTTCTATCGCAAATATTTTGTCCGCGAACAAATGAAAATCAAATCTAACCTAGTTTTCTCGTCGCGAATAATAAAAATATTGCTTAATAACAATAATATAAATAAATGATAATCAGATTTTATAATACGAATAATAGATTTCCAAAATTAGTTTTTGTTGCGATCTAACTTTTTCTATAATCAAATTCATAGAATAAATTGACAATGATTGTAATTTCTTTTCCGAATGTTACATATCGAGAATTATTAACTAGAAGCAAACGATTCAGTTGTCTAAATTCTACTCATACTCCGTACTCTGACTCGTAATCGGTTCATAAGTCAATCTTAAATTGCACTGTTACATATATCCGATGACGCTACTTTAATTCCGAATACTTGCTCGTGCACCTGTTATAGCTACGGAACTTCGAACCTGAGATCGCCTCGCCGACGGGGATAGAAAGACCCAATTACATCTCGTTCCAGAATTGGACGAATACATACAAGACGCTTAAGACGTCTTAACTACCATGGGATTTGTACCAGCCTCCTCTAACTGTCGAGATTGGTTTAAGCACTCTAGACGAGTTGGTACCAATCACTGGTCCTCTCGTGTTGTACATTTACCGATTATGAATTTATCTTGTCGTGACGCGTCAGAGGAAAATCATTGACGACGAAATATATGAATTTTGAGAATGTATACCAGAGAAATATGATAAGATGATTTAGGAAACAGGATCTGGTATTTTAGAATTTATCGTGACTTTTTGAATTTAAAAAATAATGATATTAAAAGACAGATCATTAAGCCACAATTTTCTATGTTTTGTTTTTTATCATTGTCTTCTTGTGATCTATATTAAGTTGAAAAGTAATGTTTCAATTAAAATTACGATTAAAATTAAGATTAGAATTTTAATAATAAAATAATAATAAAAATGTAATATAAATTTATTAATATACAGATAGTGCATAGAAAAATCTTTTAGTATTTATTCCATTTTCTATATGATCAAAAATTCGATCAAAAAAAAAATTTTAAAAAATCTGTTTTTATAATAAAATATTTTATAAACCGTTATTTAAAAAATGATATGTATATTTTATATGGGAAAAAATATATACATATATATTTATTATATATATATTTTTTTTATATTATCATTTCGATCCAATTTTTGATCAGAGAAAATAAATATTTCGAACATTTTATCGAATAATCTTGTAATAACTGAAATTAAATACACATTTTTAATTTGATGTAAATATAATACACAATATACCATGATTTTTAATTTTTTCATTTTTTTATGAAACTACATTTATTAATAATTGCAAATGTTAAACTTTATGCGAAACATTAAATATATTTATGATTTTTTATATAATACATTTTATTATTAAAATATTTTCAAAATTTTATTCAAAATATGAGTTAAATGATTTTATTCTATACTACACATAAAGAAATTTTTTGTTAAGAAAAAAATTCCTCTTTAATTCATTATATAATACATAATTCATTATATTTCATACACTTTTATTAATATTAAAATATTTCAATATTTAATTTATACATACAAACTTATTAAAATTAGAATTTTTTGTAAGATAGCATACAAAAAGTATAAATATACAAATAATTTATTTAATTTTTTACTTTAAATATAATACTAAAATAATTAACATTGATTTAAAATTTTTGTTATTTTTAAAATATAAAATATCATAAACATAGAGGATATAATGTTTTAATAAGATATATTTGAAGTATCGATTTTAGATCAATTAAAGATGAAAATAAATATAAATATATTTTTTATTTTTTTTTATATTTATTATATATTATCAAAATTGGAAATCATATTTCTTATAATAGTATCAATACATATTATTTTCATTATTATTTTTATTAGTTATATTACATTCATTTTATTCGACTATTATAGTTATTTAATTTCATTATTTATTAAATATTCTTTCTATTAATAATTATGATATTATAAAATTATAATCATTTAGAATTAATTTGAAAAGAACATAGTAAAATTTTATTTCATATTTATATCTATATAATTTCTTGTTTTTAAATATTTTTAGCACTATTTGATGTATGGAACCAATTTTTGCTCATCTATTGCACAAATCATCAAATATTAAATGTAACATGTCTGTATCTTTTATCAATTTTCAATTATTTTTCAATATTTTACAATTCATATTTCAAATCATATTATTCTAAAATAATGACATTATTATTTAATTAATTAAAATTTTTGATTAAAATTTCCCTTAAGCTTATTTTAAGTTTTTTTTTTTGTGTAACTACAAAATAACGCATTGTCTGTTTATTATCAATACAATGATATTATCTGCGATATCTATACTATGAATTTATACAAAAACATTTGAAATTAATATTTTCTATTTAAATATTTATATACATATTAAAGTATGTATCTCTATTTATATTATATAATTTTTTGTATTAATAATTAAAAAATTTTTTATGACCTATTACTTACTTGTTGAAAAATATATCTTTTCATTGAATACAATATATCTTTATTTTCTTATTTGTATTTGTATTACTTATAATTTGTATTGATTTCATTAAAATATTTAATAATCTATCATAATCTATTCATTAATAATAATATAATAATATATTCACTAAAACACTCAATAGTGAATTTATTTTCGGCATTTCAATTAATTTTCATTCTTCATTAATATTTTTTATAAAACAAAATAAGATCAAAAATGCCGATAAATCGATAACTTTCTATGAAGGAATTTCGTTCACAGTTTAGTGAGTAAATTTCGAGTCAAACTGGCCTACTAACCGATACAAGGAAAGTTGATAGGCTTGTACCAGTTATCGGAAATCTGATACGTTGTTAAAAATATCCGATAAAGTTGTCACGTGATTGGCACAAAGGATGAGAGCGTCTATTTTTAATTCGCAAAACTGAGAAAGAAAAATAAACGAATAAAAGTCGATATTAAAACTTAATATCATCCTCTTTAAAATTCGTCAAGCAATAATTGTTTTTCAATATTTATAAAATCTTATTTCGGTAAAATTATTTTTAATAAATGTTCATCCGTATTGTTATCTCATTATGAAGAATATTTAATTAAATGTCTAATGGAATCATATTTTTTTTTCAGAATTCAGTGGTACAGGAAGGAATAAAAAAAAGAGTTGATCAAACGTTCAAAAATTGCACGAAGCAAATGAAGCAGTGGAGACAAGACAGGCAGATTAACAGGCGATTAATGCGCTCTATGACGCCTGTTTAATGGCCCATGGTCGAATCGTGTGATACACGCGAACGAGTGCACGATTTCCCTCAGAGCTTGAATTAAATGGATAGACAGGAAGAATCCATTTGTACGTCCATTTGTATCAATTGCTTGTGCCAACGTTCAAGCGACGGAAACAAGAGCTCCAGGGAAAAAAATATCGAGAAGTGTTTGATACTTAGTGACGTGTTCTTTTCTTTTCTTTCTTAAGTGTTTTCATCAATATTTGAGAATTTCATAAAGTGATTGTCGATTTTTCGCGTATACTTGGAACGAGTGATCCGGTTTCTCGTAATTCTCAGTTCGAGAAAAACGTGAGCCAGAGTCGGTCAATCTTTCCGGAAGCTTTTCCAACGAAGGAAAAGGAACGAAACAACTGTATCGAATTACGAACAGAAAGAACTCTCATCGAAGAATATAGTAGTGAAAGCATGTGGTTTTCGCGCGTAAAAGAATTTAATCCTCAAGAGACCAATTTCCCGCGATATTAAAACACCAGGGGATCGAAATTACAGCCAGTGCTAAGGTAAAACCTTACAAATGGATTCGACGAATCGATAATGCACGATTGTAAATCCTGGTTCGGAGCAAACCACGTGTCTGATGAATAATACAATTCCTTCAGTTGCATTCAATTCTCGTCTTTTTGGTCACCAAGGGAAAAGTACCGAATAGAATCGTAAAATCCTTATCGATTGACACTATTACGCATCTTCGCATCACGACATCGTGAACGATAAGGAAATAGTGATCGCGACGTTTCTGTTCACGCGAAGAGTGAATCTTACATGAATGTAATACAGTGTGATCATTATTAAGTGATTAATAAATTGAGCGAGAAGCAATTGTGATTAGTTATGATTTTAGGCAGTGATTTGTATACGAAAAAAAAAAATAAGTTAGGAAAACAGCATGAAAGTGATGTGGGTGTATTTATATTCTGATTTCGTATTTTATCATTTTTGTGAATAACTGAAAAAGTGTGTCTGCGACGTTTCATCGAGACCCTTCTTTCCGAGAGAAGAAGGATAAACGTACGAAACGGAAGGAAAGAAAGTAACAGTATGAAGAACCGTCGTGGAAAATGGCTCTACGCTGTATTCGCATTGATCACGTTCCTTCCTCAGCAGATCGGTAAGTTTATACCCATCCTATTTTCGATGTTAGAATTTAAATCGACAGAAATAGTCTAAAATTTATAATTCACATTCATAATTTCACTTGAATTATTATCAAAATTATTTATATATATAAAAAATTAAACGAATTAATTTTATTCTATATTTTTAATGCAGAATAAACTTCTACCAATAATCCATTCAATCAGAAATTATATTTTTTTGATTTTATTAATTATTAATAATTTTCAAAAATTAATACAAATAAAATAGATGAAATATTAAGAATTTTATATAAATTTTTTATGAAGCAATAGGGACTTAGATACATATTTTTATTAGTTATGAATTTATCTATCATTTTGTTATATTGAATTTATAAGTATAAAATAATCTATGCAAAGATTTCACTCAGCAGGTTATTAGTTAATCTTTGTTCAAATAAAGTTAACAGTTAATATATAATGTATAGATCATAAAATATACGATAAAACTAGTTTCGTATTAAGTTATATATCACATTAAAGATAACGTCAATGAAACATCATATTCACGGTCTTTGTGAAGAATTTTTTGATCGAGTAATTCGCACGCAAGATTTTTTGTAGCAATGAGAACGAAAACTATCCTATAACAGTTATCCGGGGAATTTGCAGCATCAGGAGTAAAAAGTCATGAAATACCAGTAGATAAGAAGCTTCGAGTGCTTTCACAATTAAGAAAAGACACAGCTATTCCGTTCAAGCATTCTTAAGTGTCTTCAACCGCTATCGCGGTTTAGTTGATTTCCATACGATGGATTCATGGATAAAGGAATTAAGATCGTGGAGAAGCTTCTAGAGAAGACAAGTTGTCAATAATTTTCATGGAATAAATTGATGTTTCAAATATTTTCAATTAATTATACAAATTAATATTAATAAATAATAATTTGAGACATCCTTGGAGAAACGTTTATTTTATTTTCTTTTATGTTTTAATAACTTCATAATAGTAAAAATGAATTTCGAGATATTTTATCTACTATCTCATGATAATTTTATTTTAAAAAGAATAACTGAGAATTTATTCGCTTATCTTTAAAGGATATAAAATAAAAAGATTCCTTAAAATTCCTCAAATTCGTTAAAGATTGTATAAAGACAAACTAAAGATGATTTTAGTTTTTAATTAATTTTTTAATAATTATCAAAATTCACAAGAATTCATAATTCTAATGCCTATGATTTACAATTTTCTGTATAAAAAGACAGAATTATGGTTCATAATCAACATATAAATATTAATTTTGAATTCTAAATAATGTATACATCAATGAATATATCTAACAATATCTCCAACAGATTAATGTGAGGAAAAATAAAAAATAATTCAGCATGTTTTTTCGAAATCTTTCAGATATACATATAAAAATCTAAATGTATTTCTGCATACGTTTCTACAAGGATATGAAAAATATACTTCTCAGAAATATTCGCTTAATTATTCTTTTCCGAAAATACACATTTTATGACCTGTTTTTTCATTATTCAGTTATTCAATTTATTGGCATGCTTCTGCCAAGCCTTAATAAGTCCAGACAAATCCAGAATAAAATGTACTTGTTTCCGTTTTTCTATCCCATTCATCTTCTTTTCAAATATTACAACACGATAATACGATAGTTCACTATTCGCGAATGGTTTCGAAGTCTTTTCACGGATATTTGCAATGTATTACATTGTGCTGCGCATAGAGTAAATTGTGTCGCTAAAGAGGGAATCGATAACATAAAAAGTGATGCCTATGCAATATATTTATATGTATACGTATACTTGAAAGCGTACACATATTTTCAATATTTACCAGAATCTGTTTCATAAAACGGATTTTAAAAAGTTTGTACGATGCAATTTATGAAAACTTTTTTAATTAAAGCATTATTGTGATAATGCAAAGTTTGATATTGATTCGTATTCTAAAGATTATATTTTATTATTTTATTATTTAACGATTCAAATGAATGTTTTTTATGATGTAATTGAAATAATACATGATTATTTGAAAACCTATATTACATTATCATTTTTTATATTATCAATTTAAATTTTTGTAAAATAATATTTTTCTATAATATTAAAATTTTTTATTTCTAATTTTCAATCTATCATTTCTTAAAATAACTTCCTTTTCTATATTTTATAAGCAATATTGCAAGTACTAATCTTGTACATAATATTATAAAAAAATATATAATTGTAAAATCCAGGATGAGAAAATAACTTAGTAATAAAATTAACTTTTATACTTTATTATCTTTTATATTATATTAAATATATTTTAGTATTTCGATAAGTTGATTCATAAAATCGTGTCAATGATCATCTATTTTGCATGAATTTTTATATACATATATATCATATGTTCAAATTCATTAATATTAATTAAATAAAATATATGTTAGGAGAATAAAAAAAAACTTTAAATTAATAAAATTATCAAGTTATTATATAAGAAACATGACGTTAAAATCTAATTTTATTGATTATTAATATGAAATTTTTGATTATATATATATACTTTTATGTTATTTTAAACGATCTATATCAGAGCATTAAATATTGAATCTTTATTTATATATGTTATCTAAGTGAAAATATATATTTTTGATTGAAATATTTATAAAATATTACTATTATTATATTTTTTTTGAAAGTTTATGAAATTATTTATTAATTAGAATTATTTATAATAAAATATTTAATAAAGTTGTAAATTGAACACCTAGAATTATTTGTTCATAATAAAATTATTTGATGAATATATTTACTAATTTGCTATAATACAATAATTACAATACAATAAGAATTGAAATAGATATCTATAAATTGAACATGAATTTTAATATTGAACAGCTATTAATAAGGATATATACATTTTTCTTTCATATATAGTACATTTCAGTTTAATTACACAAATTACAGATATAAAAAATTTGCATAATAATTAATTACATTCTATTACATACAATATTATTTTCTATTACAGATATTCATTACGTATATTCAAATAATTTAACAATATATAATTATATAAATATAATTATTTATTGCATTGTGTATTTTATATATTTTCAATATTTATGAGACACAATAATAATATGCTTTTCATGTATTGATTTATTTATTAAGTTAACTATTTAAAAGAAAATTTTTAATATAAATCACCAATTTATAAATTTTCTATCAAAATTTTTTATTAAATATCTGAATATTAAATTTTCCGTTATATTTTCATTATGTCATTATAAAAAATATATATAATAATGCTTAAAATTAATATTGCTTACAAAATTTAATATTGTTTTAAATAATATCCATTAAGTTGAATAATTGATTTAAAATATAACTTTATATATCATATATATATCATTGGATTAAAAAATAATAAATTTTAATTTTAAGAATAAGAAATACAAAAGAAATTGAAATGAATTTAATAGGAATGTTAATTTATATAATTTTAAATAAAAATTGATTAACGGTATCATATAACAATAAATCGTATAAGATAAAATTTATATCTAATAATCGTGTAAGATTGATTTTATTAACATAGTTAATAATATTTGTGAAAATATCAATATTCGTAAATATTGTAAATTATAAATATCTTATATCAAAAGTTTGAACAAACATTTTTCCATTTTGATTGATTTTGATTGATTTTGATTGATTTTGATTGATTTTGATTGATTTTGATTGATTCTATTAAGATAAAAAATTCAATATATTTGCAATATATCAATTTATCTTGATCATTTCTATCTGTTCTTAATCTATTGTAACTAAATCGATAAAAATTAAATTGAAAAGATTTTTCCATATGCAATGTCAAAATGAAACTTATAATAAATTTATGAATTTGGTTTCACGTGATCTATGACGTTTATGAGAACTTTTCAATGTTAACTCTCAAAGTTTGTTTTGTAATAGTTTGTGATAATTTTGTGATATGCATGAATCAATTTTCAAGTAAAAATAAAATTTTCAATATCTAGCCAAATTGAATCTTTTAAAAAGGAAGAAATGATCAACAGAAAGATTGATTTCATCAAAGGTAACCTACTCGACAAAGTTAATTATCAATAAATAAGCTGTTGCTTAAAAATGTAATTTTACGAGACGCTCTCAAGAAAATTCACTTTGATGCAATTTCTATGAAGACGATACCTCGTCCCTTGATCTGACCACGTGTATTCCGGGTGAACGGAAACCTGACGAACAGTTGAGGTTGAAGACAAATTTGTTCTACTAATTCGACCGATGTTTATTCTCCCTAAGCTAATAGCTCGACGGAAAGACAATATAACATGTTAATTAAAAAACGGGAATAATTAAGTTTGAAAGTTTTTAATGCGCTACGATTTTCCGCTATCACAATATTTTCGATAAAATTACGTTTGTTGCTTGATTCTAATTAATGTGAGATAAATCGAATATCCAAGGCTTTCGATGTTATTCAAATAACTTTTCATCAGTTTGATATGTGATAATCTTATTATTGTTCGACAGTTATAATCAAAATATTATAATATATAAATATTACATAGTTATTAATAAAAATGGTTATAAAAATTATAAATAGTTATTAATAAAAAGTTATAAATCAATTATATGAACATATAAATAATAAATATGTGATGTGAATTATCTATTTTAATCTTTATAACTTAAAAAAAGTTTATACGTGTATTGTAGTTCAATTATTGTAGTTTAATAAATCGAAGGATTTATCCATATATTTGAAAAATCAACAATAATTGCATTAATTAATATAATTTAACTAATGTAATATCATTAATTAATGCAAAATTAAAATATCTAATAGAAAAAGTTATGTTAATTTAAAGTTATATAGTTATTTATTTAAAAAGTTTGTTATTTAAAAACGATGCTTATTTTATTTAGCTATCTAAGAATTTGCAATAGTATGATGATAATAAATCACCGAAAGACAATTTCAATATTTATAATA